CCTCCTCCAGCGCCCCCTCCCCGAGTCTCGGCCGCACCCCCAGCTCCCGGCGATCCTCCTTCCCCAGTCCTCTCCCTCCTTGCCCTCCCCGCCCCTCCTGCCCCATCCTCTAGAGCCCCGCCGCTGGCTGGCCCGCCCTCTGACTCAGCGCACCCACAACCTAGCATACCGCAACCAAAACGGATGCAGGTTCCTCTGGGCTGTGCTCCAGATGCTTTCTCTGGTCTTGACACAAATGGTTGCAGGACACCGTTAGTCATTCAAGAAACGTTGTGTGCAGGGCCCCCGGCAAAGGGCCTGAAGATGCCTCCTGTCCCTCCTGAGAGCTGGGCTTGAGCACATGGAACCTGCTCTAGGACTGACATTGCTCCTCAGCTTACCCTGCCCAAAGCTACATCGCTGTTGCTACTGGCCTTGCAAGTCAGACTGCCACACGGAGTGAGCAGTCCACTCATTGGACACAACTTGGCCTAAGCAGTCTGCCATAACAGAGCAGTATGTCCTTCCTCCTAGGTTACCAGGCATGGTTGGCCTTCAAGATGAAAACCAGCAGCCTGGGTCCTGGTCCTAGGTTCCAACTCTGCTTTACTCTGTACCTGGCCAAGGGATCCCTCCCAGAGGGAGGTTAGATGGCCTCTCTGTCATGGTGGACACTGACAGACCATGATGTGTGATTGGTTGCCTGTAACGGAAGTAGAAGCACCTAAAAGGACATGGCCCTATTGGCAGGCAGGCTGTGGGCTCCCCTGAAGATGCACCCACTGAACTCAGTGTCTTCTCACTCCAGTGGAAGGATAGCAGATTTGAGCCTCTTAGAAGTCAAAAGTGCTAGACAGATGTCACTTCCAGTGGTACTGGTCATCAGGGTCAATCAGAGATTGAGAATTTTATAACCTTGAGAAAGTTGCTTTCAGTTTTCTTTACAATGGAAACACTAATAGTACCTCCCCCATGAGACAGACTAAAGATAAAATTAATCAGCACTGAGAACTCTGTTTTGGATATAAGAAACACTTGATCAGTATTGGGTGTTATTGGAAATACTTACGAACTTGGGAGAATCTTGCTTGCTCATCAAGAACTTGGATGTGTTTGAGAAAACAGTATATTGAGGTTATAAATTAAGATTCAAATATTTATTCTTTTAACCTTATCCTAAGGTCTAGCTGTTAGGTTTTAAAATATACTGAAGACAGAGAAGAGTAAGACTTGTTTTTTTTTTAAGATTTATTTATTTATGCATACATAACTAAGATACAGGCCAGAGGTGCAGGGGCAGTGAGAGGATTCACTTGAGACAGAGTAGGGAGCAGATCAGGCAGATTGACGAAGTACACTGCTGAGGGGAGCAGCAGGTGAGACAGGAGGGGTCTCCTTCCTGGCCAGGGATTGAACTCAAGCAGAAGTAGCTGTGGCTAGTCTCACAGTGCTGCGCTTTAACCCACTGAGCCACCATGGAGGGCCCAAAATTTATTGTTTGTTTGTTTATGTGTAACTTTATTATACTGAATAATTTTACAATAGTTACAGCTAGTCTTATCTGTTACAGAAACCACCTTCAAGGCCACCCTGAAGCTAATGTTGATGTAGCCTTTGCCTAACTCCTGTTGGCCAGGATTCCCCATAGGCATCAACTCCCCCAGGAACCTGTGAGACAGATGTCTCACAGCATCTGTCCAGATTCTACTCCCTAAGAAGCTGAAGGGTATCTCCTGATGTAGAAGGGGGTCTCAGCCTCATGGTCTTATCCAGACCAGAAAATTCTTTTAGAAAATCAGCTCTCCTAAGTTAGTGTTACTGGCTAGCATAGTGTGAGGTGTGTGTACAATTTTAAAAGTTCCAGTAGCTACATTTTTAAAAAGAAACAGGTACTAATTTTAATAATGTATTTACTTAATCCAACATATTAAAATATAGTTTCAACATATAACCAGTATTTCACACTATGTCTTCAACATTGGGTGTACATTTTGCACCAGTCATATTTCACATGTGGCTAATGACTATCGACCTGGAAAGCACACTTAAAATTGTCTGAGTACAAGTGTTTCTTGCCAATCCAATTATATGCTGTTTTCACAAATACTCACAATCTTGCTCATCTCTCTTAGGGTGATGTTAACCCTATCCTGCATCTCTGCCTATGCCTATGTCATGTATCTACATGCTTGCTGCTGGGCATACAGCTATGAGCAAAGTAAACTTCTACTGAATGGTTGAAAGAATAAGAAGCCCCTCTTCGATAAGTCTCCCGAGGCCTTGAGTAAGGCTCATTAAAAATTCTTTTTAGACAAAGAGAGTAAAAAGAAAGGAAAGGACCAGTATTAACCCTCTCTAACATGTAAGGACATAGCACAAAGGCAAATATGTGTAAACTAGGAAGAGGGTCTTCACCTGAACCTGAGTATGCCGGCTCCCTGAGCCTCCAGAATTGTACAAACAAATTTCTGTTTAAGCGACATAGACAATGGCATTTTGTTCTAACAGAGTTGACCAAGATGCTGGGTAATGGTAAGTTTGCCCTTGATGTTAATTGTTGTTACAGAAAATTTCTCTAATGCAGATTAGTTGAGATGTTGATCCTGGCAACATAGTATAATTAGGTCTGCTTTTGGTGACAGAAGGGAAGCAGCCCTAGAATCAAAATTACTACCGCAAGTTCTCATTATCTTGCACTGGAAATATAACTTTGAAGTGGAAGACACTGAGCCAATAACAATTGCCCCAGATCAGCTCTGGAAGACTGAAGAAGGATTATTAACTCGTCACAGGTTACAAATTCGTCACAAGGGCAGGTGCTTAGCTGGAATGAACTGCTTTGAGCCAGCCAATAGGTGAGGCTCAGGGAAGCAGGGCCTCTAGCATGTCAGGGGGCGCCAGAGCTGGAATAGTAGCGGTGGCTCTCATATGGTCAGGCTGAGGCCCCATGACTGGAACCAGTCTATGCAGACTGCCTGTGCTCATTGCTCATGCCCACCAGACGGGATCTTTGGGGAATCCTTTTTGGATCCAAACAGTCTCCTTTTTGGTGTTCCAGCTGACTGTGCCTTCATGCCATATTATTCCTAACAGGGTACAAATTTACATATTTATTAAACACCTGTTATGGACTGAATCGTGCCACCCTCAGGGTCTTCAAAGAGATAATCAAGGTTAAGTGAGGTATAAGGGAAGGGCCAAAATCCAAAAAAAAAACTGGTGCCCTCATAAGAAAAGGAACACACACCACATGCTCCTGGTCACAGGCACAAGAGCTCAGACCCCAACAAGCCAAGAAAAGGAGTCTCAGAATGAAACCTACCTTGGTAGCACCAAGAGCTCAGATTTGCATCCTCCAGAACTGTGAGAAACAAATTTCTGTGTTTAAGTCACCCAGTTTGTGGTATTTTATTATGGCTTGTGGTATTTTTCACTGCTCACAAAATGAGCAGTGGGAAAATATTAGGGGGGAAAAGACAGAAAAAGTTTACAATCTAGGAGGACAAATAGATGATAAATGAATAAATTAATAATTTCATCCTGTGACATTATTGGGAGAAAACAGCATGATGAGTTGGTGAGGGCAATAGTTATCTTGTATTGAACCTTAGGAAAGGCCTGTCTGAGGTGACATTTTTGTTAATCAAAGTGACAAGCAGTCACCTTTGTGTCTCTGAAGGACACACATTCCAAACAGAAGATTTAGCTGCAAAGGTCTTAGGTGGGCATGAAGCACAACAAGACCACCATGGCTGGAACATGATGAAAGAGGTTGGGCACTAGCAGGGTCAGGAAAAGGGAATGAGCTGAAAGGTCTCTCGAGGATTTAAGGAGAGGAGGGGTGACCCAGTTTACATGGGAGGGATGAAACTGACACTGTCCTTAACCTCTAATTCAGCCAACAGACAAGAAAACAGGCAAAATTCGTAGCAGTGAGAAGTGTACTGCTCAGAGACACTAGGTCTAAGGAGAAACCATAGCATATTTCATAAATTTAGAGCTAAGGTGATTCAGCTGAAACTTATCAAAGGATTTATCTACAGCTGCCCAGCCTCCCCAACCCAATCATACTCAACAATGATCAGCACACTGATTTTGGTCCTCAGATTTCTCAATTTTCCCAACTTTGGCTCTTTTCTTGGAAGGATGTGTGGTGGTAAGAGAGAGAATTTTACTTGCAAATGGGCAGCTTGCCAGTGCATCAAGAATTGGGTGTTCTAGTCCATTTTATTTCTCCTGGAGGAGAAATAATCAGCACACGTCCCCTTATCGTTGTAAAACTTTGGTGGTGTCCTTGTTTTTGAGTGACAGCATTAAACAATCAAGGAGCATGTTTCCAAACAGGACACCTTTCCTTTATGCTATCTTGCAGGTATTGCAAACTCAGTTTATCCATGTCTGGGAAAGGAACACAAGTGTTTGGTGAGCTAGAGATAATGGGAAAAGAGGGGAAGTGTCAGGAAGGGGCAGAAGTAGACCCAGCTCCCAGGGGTGATAGAGGTAGGTGGGTCATCCCATATAACATGTAACCATGGGTTACCAGGAACAGCCCACTAACTAACCAACCACTCCAATAGACGTAGTTTGTAATGGAGGTCAGACAGCAGTTTTCATTCCAGAGCTTGTTGGTTCTGCCTACACCACCTCACCCTGCATCCTCCATCATTGCTCTGGCCTGGCCCTAGGCACTTGCCCATTGGGTAAGGTGAAAAGGCCCTCTGCTTTCAACTGGGTGTGGTGGGTGGGGTGGCACAGCTGCAGAACAGAATCGGTCACCTTCAGGCAGAAGCCAAGGTTTCCCTTTGCTTACAGGTTCTCATTCTATTCCCAGCCTTCAGCCCTCCTCTTCCCAAAGATTCTTCTTGCGTCCATATCCTTCCCAGGCTAAGAAGGACCCCCGGAAGGGAGCCGGGGGAAACCCCGCCCTGCCTGCCACGTTCAGTTCTGGGGTGGACCCTACCCGCGCCCGACCGCCTTAGACTGGGGAAGCCCCCGGGTGCCCCGCAGTGCCCTGGAGCGTCTCTGTCGTTGCCCTCCCCGGGTCTGACTCCTGCGAGATTTAGGACAGAAGTCTAAAGATACCTGGCACCTGCCAGTCGCCACTCGCGAGGCCGCCCCGC